TCCCTAACTCACATTCATTCATACACATACTATGGCCAATTTAGACAAGAGCCAATTAACCTACCAGCATGTCTTTGGAGTGTGGGAGGAAACCAGAGAACCCAGAGGAAACCCACGCAGGCACAGGGAGTACATGCAAACTCCAGGCAGGTGGTGCTGTGATTTGGATTGCACTACATTTGCGACCTGGGTTTGGGATGTCATTAGCATTGCATTGGCACCCGCTGTAGATCACAAGGATAGTGCATTTTGAACTCATGGTGGGATACGCGCACAGAACATACGTTTCCCGCATTGCGTTCTGGTGTGCACGGGCTTTTAAAGCAGAACTAAAGGCAAAAAAACTATATACAAATTAATACCCTATAAAGATGATAGCAGAACTGAAGGCAAACCAATTTATTTTTAAAAGATGGAGTAAGGAGGGAATATAACCTCTGTCAGGTTTTTTTTTTTCCCCATCTGTGTCCCATTAGAAAGATCTCCGTTCACTTCCTGTCCAATAGCCAAAAGCAGGAAACAAGAAGAAATTTATACAAAGTGAGGGAATCCCTGGTTATCACCAGAACTAGTGTCCCCATTGAAACATCCCCCCTCTATTCCTGTTCTGGTGAGAACTCAAAATATGGGATTTTCTTTTACTTTCATTTTCGGTCAACAGGACCAACACCAAAATAATCAAACAGAGAGGGTGGATATATCCTAAGAGGGACACAGACCACAATAAAAACTTGATGGGTATATTCAAATCCCTCCCACCTCTATCCGAAACAAAAAAAAAGTGTTGATTTAAGTTACACTTTACATTAAAAAAGAAGCACCTTGAATGCAAAGCAGTATTCTGCAGTACTTCAGTGTCACCACTAGATGTCCTCAGTCTGATAGCCAGTATTGAATCAGCACCACTTGCTCTGAGCCTAGGTCATCCTAGACCTGTCCCCAGCCTATGACTAGACACTTATGAGCTCATCTCACTGCCACTGACTCCCAATGCAAATCATCTGGGGGTCTTGTTGGCGGAATACATTAAAATATATAAAGGATATATGTTTTGGTGACATGCAGTGTGGAACCCATTTAGCAACCTATTGTTTTTATTTTTTCTTTCTCTGACAGCAAATGCATACAAATGAATACATAAGGAATCCACACATTCAGAAACCACAAAAGTCAAAGTGATTGAAAATAGGCATTTATTGTACATCATATTTCTTTGATATAGTCACTTCAAACTGGAAAAAGCAAATCAGCTCTGCTCTGGAGATAGTTATATACATAAACAAAATAGGACATGAAAGTTGCTGTATAAAAACAAGGACAGTAAAGACACTAGATTCTAGCGGTCACATCTGTTCTGCAATTTACAACATGAATCGATTTGTAAAGGTAACCCCTCCAGTTTGCAGTTTCACAGTTTTTTTCATTCTATACACAAGACCAGGGACTGACCATTGGGGAAATCAGGCACTGCCCGAGGGCCTGGGGTCAGTAGGGGGCCCCTTGAGATGTCCCTGGTACCTTTCAGAGGATTTTTTAGGTGTGGTTTGAGTGTGGGTGAGGACACGGGGCCCCATGATCCCATATTGCCCAGGGGCCCCATGAGTTGTCAGTCCACCCCTGCACAAGACTCATTGAAATTTGCTATATTGTAAGCAATGGCATATTGTTTATTACAGGTATTTAGAGCTTGTTCCCATATGTGGCAGCCCTTTCTGCCCCTCTGAAAAGGAATCTGTAGCTGATCGCCTTTCAGAGGATGGTGGACAGGCGGCCAGGAGGTGATATGTCTTAATGCAGGTGCAGGGCAGTAGCAACATGCCATATTAAATTTAATGGGTCGTGTTTGGTGGTGGTATTTCCCAAAGTAAAGCATGATGGCTGCTGTGGCTTGTGTACAGCCCTGGGTCCTGTTTTTGTTTAGGCGGGCGTGAAAACAACCACCTGTTTTTTCAATCCCTTGGTTGCTCATGTGAATGAGCCAAGAGTTTACACAGATGTTTACATACTGTACATTCACATCAGTCCCTGCCCTCAAGGAGCTTACAATCTAAAGTCCCCTCACATACACATACTAGGGCCAATTTATACAGGAGCCGATTAACCTACCAGCATGTCTTTGGAGTGTGGGAGGAAACAGCGGAAGAATATTCAAACTCCATGCAGGACATACAAACTGAGAACGCCAATGCTACAGGGCACTGTGCTTATCATTTTATTCCTGCGTGATTTAAGCAAATATAACACATTGGGCTTTCTTTTTTTCACACAACTCACTAGGCCCTGAGTACCTTTAGTAATTTTAACAGATATTATCAATTTATAACTCAGAAGTGTCTTGTTAGAAGAAGTGTTATATGTATGTATCTGTGTATCATTCTCAGGACATAACAAATCCAGGCAACAGGTCTAGTATGATAGGTCTGGTATAATTGGCCCTAGAGTCTATTTTTTAAATGATAGTATATACAGTTATGGGACTTGTAGCATTATTTTCTCCACCAGTCTACCCAGAAGAACAAATATAAGCCCACACGTTGACTTCTGTTAAGTGAAGCTAAGTAGTGTTCAGCTCAGGTGAAGATCAAGCTGTAGAGAGATTAGAGATTTAAATGGAAACATTTAAAAAAAGAAATACAAAGCTTCCATTGCTGACCAGTTTTTGAAAATACTTGTTTCCTGGCTCTCATGGTAATTTATTGGGCTTCGATAGTTTCTGAATACTGACCCAGAACAAGTATGTAAATCAGGATTTCTGACTCCACTTACAGTACTGCTTACTTGTTCTAGGTCAGTGACTAATAAAGAAGTGAAGCCAGAAACAGCCAGGATATTAACATCTTCAGAGACCAACAATGAAAGTGTAACAATTTTTCTCCATACCAATTACTATTAAAGCTGAACTGCCGGCATAAATAAAATATAGAAATTAAACACAGCTTTGTATTCATTATTAGTTAATTGAAAATATGTTTTTTTCAAAGAAAACAGTGTAAGCTCCTGAATTTTGATTTGGCTTCATTGTATTTCCTTTACAGCAGAGCTTAAACTGAAGGAAAGAGAAGCAGCACAAGGATCCAATCAGTTGTGCTGCAGAGTGATATAGAGATGAGATTATCAGTGTGCTGCTTCTCCTTGCATGGTCCAGTTACAGGCTGAGGGTAAAGACCTGTAAGTATTACTTAACTGCAGTAGGAAAAAAAAAAAATGGAAGAGCTGTGTAAATGTAAGGACTGCAGGGACAGTAATAAAATCATTTGGCAGGTAAAACAGCTGAGGTCTATGTCATTTATCTGTGCATTTAGCGGTTTTTCAGTTCAGAATTCACAAGGTGGCCACAATAATCTAAGATTGGTGTCACCCAGGCTAAAAAAGAAAGAATGCATCCAGAAGATATGTACAGGTACAAATCTGTCACAGAGATATACACCTTAATTATTTCAAAAAAACAAATATAAAACCTTTTATGTTTACTGATAGCAACTATTTAATTGCTTGTGAATAGTTAGAAGATGAATAAAACCTAAGACCCAAGTCAAGCAACATCTAAAGTGAAGCTGTACCATTTTCTAAACATATATTTATATATCAGAGCCTCTGTCTGATCTATTGATCTGCATTGCCACCTGTGTCCCTATTGGGGAGAGTACCCCTCATTTCCCATCAGGACAGGAAGTTATGGGAAATCCATTCTATATATTAGAAGGATTCAAAAGCTCAACGTTTTGCATTAAAGTAAACAAAGAAGCTGGCCACACTACAATGACATGGGATTTAAACAGACTGTATTGTTCTGGACAAGATCACCAAACGTTCAACCAGGCCAAGCCTCAGTTTGATGCATTTCACCCAGAAGAGCTTACCATATATAGGGAGCACTGATGAGCTCTATTATGCTGCCAACTGGCTGCCCCAGAGATGGGTGGATTGTGGACTAATGAACAGCAGCTCTCCCTTGTACAGTCATAAAGGAAAGCGACAACTAGAGGGGCACTACATATCTTAGAGTAGGACATTGGTGACCAGTTGGTGGCCCTTTAGGTGGTTTTTAGAACTGACAGCTGCTTATTGGAAATCTTTGAGAGTAGTATGGTGTGTATTCCCACTCCCAAAATTTACAGTTATGACATGCTGAGGAAGAGCAGACACACACACACTATATTTTTTTTTTTTTTTTTTCTTTCACATGTGCATGACTGTTGACCACAAAAACGGGCATTACTTTTATTTTTATAGCCTGCAAACATTGATCTCAGGGTAAAACTAAGGGTTGTTCTGATGTATAATTGATCTCAATTTTCTCCTTTGTTTCTGCAACTCTAAAACGTTTCATAAGTCTACAATCATGTAACAGGCAAAAATAGTGCAATGGGTCTCACACTGACCAATACGGATTATCATACAGCATAAGTTCAGCAGCAAGCAATATGCAGACAACTCCAGTCCTGGAGTTTTATAAGGTATGTAAAAAATGTCTAATACTGTGCAAGCAGATCTTTGCCTCATTTAAATGACAGCGGGACTAGCGCCTATCTTGAATACCATGGACATATGATTACAAATACTGTAAGCTGCCTTCCTGATGTCAGCCAGTAGATGGCAGCAGAATTCCAGGGTTCTATGGATTGGGCCCTATACAGTATATACCAGATTTATGATCTCAGATTTCATACTAAGCTCACTAAGTAATGACAAAAAGTAGTCTGTGCTTTCATACACAAAGAAAAGAATTCATGCTCCAGCTACTACATTCTCTTCACGGTTTGCTTAGACTTTCTTCATGTGCTTTATCATACACAACGATTGCACCCACACTTATCTTGAAAGGCTTTTGAAATTTGTGCTCAGTCAGTGCAAGCAGAAAACTGGACTGGATGTTTAAAAGCATAAAAAACGCAGACTAGAATTTTTGATAACCGCTTTCAGCTTGAAAAGTATCAGCACCGATTTTCCTTAATTAAATGGACGCGGAGTTTATGATCGGGCCAGACATGCCCTTCATTTCATGTTCTTTTAGCCGGCTTGGCTGTCAATTGTTTTTCTCTCCCCAGCGCACGCTCACGTTGCTGTTCTTGCTTAAATTTTCCTCCTGTTTTTTTCTGCTGCAATTTTAGTGCTCGCTTCTGAAAACAAGACAAGAAATCCATCAGTAACTGTTCCATCAATGAAAAGGCTAGCACAAAGTCATGCTTGTAATTGTCAGCCTTGAAATGCCTCATGAGACTTGTAGTTTTACAACAGCTGGAGGGCCCCAAGTTGAGGGCCCATGGTCTAACCCTAGGTTCACATCTGGGTGTGTGCCACTGCGAACCCGCACAGAGAAATGCGGACCTGCAGGCGGGTGCCATTAGTTCTAATGGCACGCCACCTGCACTGGAAAATGCAACCGTACTGGGAACCGAGGTTCCCGTGTGGGCTGTGTTTTCCAAAGAAGTGTAGGGACTTCTTCCCGGCGTGTCACGGGCACGGGAGTCCATTCAAATGAATGGGCTCTCGTGCCCGTGCAAAACGCGGCCTGCACAGCCACATATATGTGAACCAGGGGTAAAGGGATGCTGCAATTATATGTGAACACTGGTGTACGGAATCACGGCTGCCCAAAGCAATACAACAAACCTTTTTTGGGAAGTGCACTCTCAGGCAAAAGTACCTCTTTCTTGCTGTAAATTAAAAACAGTTCTAGAATCCAAAAGAAGATCAGGACGGCTTTATTCCGGTAAAAACACCGCCTTTATTGCAGTACATCTTTGTAACACAGAACTCAAAAGCATAGAGATCACAGTGGGGGACTCCAGGTTGACGAGTTTCATGCCTCTCTCAGCTCTTATACATAACCTGCTGGACGATCCTGCAGCCACCTAATATAGGAAGACAAGACTCCATTCAGCTGTACACAATTAGCTGCTGAAAAATCAATCCCAGATGAGGTCAGCTACATACATTACTTACACACACACAAAAAAAAAATTAAAGGAACACATTTTAATCATAGAATAGCACATCAAGTCAATTAATCTGGTTGGTAGCATGAGGCAATATCTGGACCCTACAGAGGTTGCACAGGCAGTCCAACTCCTCCAGGATGGCACATCAATACATGCCATTGCTAGAAGGTTTGCTGTGTCTCCCAGCACAGTCTCAAGAGCATGGAGGAGATTCCAGGAGACAGGCAGTTACTCTAGGAGAGCTGGACAGGGCCGTAGAAGGTCCTTAACCCATCAGTAGGACTGGAATCTGCTCCTTTGTGCAAGGAAGAACAGGATGAGCACTGCCAGAGCCCTACAAAATGACCTCCAGCAGGCCACTGGTGTGAATGTCTCTGACCAAACAATCAAAAACAGACTTCATGAGGGTGGCCTGAGGGCCCAACGTCCTCTAGTGGGCCCTGTGCTCACTGCCCGGCACCATAGAGCTCGATTGGCATTTGCCATTGAACACCAGAATTGGCAGGTCCACCACTGACACCCTGTGCTTTTCACAGATGAGAGCAGGTTCACCCTGAGCACATGTAACAGATGTGAAAGGGTCTGGAGAAGCCGTGGAGAATGTTATGCTGCCTGTAACATCATTCAGCATGACCATTTTGGTGGTGGGTCAGTGATGGTCGGAGGAGGCATATCCATGGAGGGACGCACAGACCTCTACAGGCTAGACCAGGGGTCCTCAAACTACGGGCCGTGGGCCACATGCGGCCCGCCGAGGGGGGAGGGGGGGCTTTTCCCACGGAAGAGATACTTCTGTGGGAAAGATACAGGGGCAGGGCTGCCATGGCTGAGGGACCGGCTGCAGAGGAGAGCGGAGTAGTGGGCAGATCCCTGGAGTGCGCGTGGGGAGTCAGGGCCCTCTGTCAGTGTGCCGGTATCCAGGTGAAGGCCAGAAGGAGGAAGCAGAAGAGGACGAGATCAGGGGGGCAGAGCTGGCCCGCTCCTTTGCAGATGACGCCGGAGATCGAGGGGGAGAAGGGACACAGGCACCCGTCCTGGAATGATCCTGACACCATCTGGAGGAGCCACTGCTGGACAGGTAAATGCTTGGAGGACTGGTGCTCCCTCGGTCCTGTCTCACTGTCCCCTAATACACTGCCCCCCACCTGTTCTACTTCCCTCCCTGTCCCATTGCCCCCCCCCATCCATCACACTGCCCCCACATCTGTTCCACTTCCCCCACATTGTCCCACTACCTCCCATCTGTCCCCACTGCCCCCCACCTGTCCCTCTGTGCTCCTCCTGTCCATCTGCCCCTCACCTGTCCCACTGCGCTCCTCCTGTCCATCTGCCCCTCACCCGTCCCTCTGCGCTCCTCCTGTCCATCTGCCCCTCACCCGTCCCACTGCGCTCCTCCTGTCCCTCTGCGCTCCTCCTGACCATCTGCCCCTCACCCGTCCCTCTGCCCCTCACCTGTCTCACTGCGCTCCTCCTGTCCATCTGCCCCTCACCTGTCCCTCTGCGCTCCTCCTGACCATCTGCCCCTCACCTGTCCCTCTGCGCTCCTCCTGTCCATCTGCCCCTCACCTGTCCCACTGTGCTCCTCCTGTCCATCTGCCCCTCACCTGTCCCACTGCCCTCACCTGTCCCTTTGCCCCTCACCTGTCCCTCTGTGCTCCTCCTGTCCAGCTGCCGCGATACTGTCCCACTGCCCCTCACCTGTCCCTCTGCGCTCCTCCTGTACTGTGTCCCAGTCTCTGGTCATCTCCTGTGCTGTGTCCGCAGTCTCTGGTCATCTCCTGTGCTGTGTCCGCAGTCTCTGGTCATCTCCTGTGCTGTGTCCGCAGTCTCTGGTCATCTCCTGTGCTGTGTCCGCAGTCTCTGGTCATCCACTGTGCTGTGTCCGCAGTCTCCGGTCATCCCCTGTGCTGTGTCCGCAGTCTCCGGTCATCCCCTGCGCTGTGTCCGCAGTCTCCGGTCATCCCCTGCGCTGTGTCCGCAGTCTCCGGTCATCCCCTGCGCTGTGTCCGCAGTCTCCGGTCATCCCCTGCGCTGTGTCCGCAGTCTCCGGTCATCCCCTGCGCTGTGTCCGCAGTCTCCGGTCATCCCCTGCGCTGTGTCCGCAGTCTCCGGTCATCCCCTGCGCTGTGTCCGCAGTCTCCGGTCATCTCCTGCGCTGTGTCCGCAGTCTCCGGTCATCCCCTGCGCTGTGTCCGCAGTCTCCGGTCATCCCCTGCGCTGTGTCCGCAGTCTCCGGTCATCCCCTGCGCTGTGTCCGCAGTCTCCGGTCATCCCCTGCACTGTGTCCGCAGTCTCCGGTCATCTCCTGCACTGTGTCCGCAGTCTCCGGTCATCTCCTGCACTGTGTCCGCAGTCTCTGGTCATCTCCTGTACTGTGTCCGCATTTGTTCATAGTTTTTTTTTAAACTATAGTCCGGCCCTCCAACGGTCTGAGGGACAGTGAACTGGCCCCGTTTAAAAAGTTTGAGGACCCCTGGGCTAGACTATGGCACTGACTGTCATCAGGTAGCAGGATGAAATTTTGGAACCATTGTCAGACCCTACGCTGGTACAGTGGGTCCTGGGTTCCTCCTGGTGCATGACAATGCCCAGCCTCATGTGGAGAGAATATTCAGGCAGTTCCTGGAGGGTGAAGGAATTGATTTCATTGAATGGCCCCCCACAATCGCCTGACCTAAATCCAATAGAACACATCTAGGATATCTTGTTTCAGTCCATCCGATGCTGCCAGGTTGAACCTCCGACTGTCCAGGAGCTCAGTGATGCCCTGGTTCAGATCTGGGAGGAAATACCCCAGGACACCATCTGTTGCACGTGGGGGCCATACAAACTACTGAATACCATTTTCAGTTGATGCAATGCAATTTCAGCAAAATGGACTAGCCTGCTGCATCATTTTTTCACTTTGATTTTTGAGGTGTCTTTGAATTCAGTCTTCGGTAGGTTGATAATTTTCATCAAATGATGGGGCATCCTTACATTCCTAACACATTACCCCGTCCATATCAGTATAGATATCCAGCAGGAGATTTTTTACACACACAAAAGTATTGGGCCAGCCCTCCAAATCATTGGATTCAGGTGTTCCAATCACCTTCATGGCCACAGATATATAAAACAAGCACCTAAGCATGCAGACTGCTTCCACAAACATTTGTGAAAGAATGGGTCGCTCTCAGGATCTCAGTGAATTCAAGCGTGGTCCCGTGATAGGTTGCCATCTGTTCAATAAATCCATCTGTGAAAATTCCTTGCTAGTAAAATATTCCACGGTCAACTGTTAGTGGTATTATAACAAACTGGAAGCAACTGGGAACAGCAACTCAGCCACCAAGTGGTAGGCCACGTAAAATGACAGAGAAGGGTCAGCGCATGCTGAAGCATACAGTGCGCAGAAGTCACCAACTGTCTGCAGAGTCAATAGCTAAAGACCTCCAAACTTCTTGTGGCCTTCAGATTAGCACAACAGTGCATAGAGAGCTTCATGAAATGGGTTTCCATGGCCGAGCAGCTGCATCCAAGCCTTACATCACCAAGTGCAATGCAAAGCGTTGGGTACAGTAAGCCTAGGTTTACATTAGATATGGTGCAGCGAATCCATGGTCCGTGCGCTTTCCCACACCGCATTCAAATCGCACTGTCCTTGCAATCTGCAGCAGATGTCAGTGCAATCTTAATGTCACCTCCAAACACCTTCAAAATGAATGGGCTCAAATTGCACCATAGTGAATTACATGTGGATCCAGTGCGATTCATATATGGTTCATCGCGTAATGCGAGGTTTAGGAAGTTTAACATCAAGACTTTTAACTGTAACACAAGACGTGATCTACCTAATCACCTGTAATATTTGTTTCAATCAGTATTTGGGGAGGACAACGAGGAGGCTGAGAGACCGCCTCCATGACCACATATACAGTGAACAGAAGACACATTCCACGAATGTAGTGAAACACTTCAACAAACATCATGATGGCGATTTCTCAGCCCTCCGTATCCAAGGGATAGAAAAAGGGGTGAGTCCCAAAAGAGAGAGTGGCTCATTCAGGTTATTATGTAAACATGAAGTTTACTGGATATTTCACTGAAAGCCAGTTCCCACCAGAGCACTTTAGCTCTCCAGCAGCTGTCCATTCATGACTGCAGTAGTGGGCAGTGTGATTTACATTTCAGTGCCTTACATGGCCTACTTTTTTTTTTTTTTTTCAAACGTTGTGTACAAAATTACACTGCATTGCATTTTACAGTGTACTGCGATAAATTGTATGTCTGAATTTTATTGCAGCATGCCGTCTTTGCTTCAGCAGGGCAAATACTGTAAAAAATTGCAGCATGCTGCAGCGCAGCCCCGCCCTGTATTGCAGTGTGAATGGGACACACAGAAAACAAATAGTTTTCAGTGTGTCTTTGCAGTGACGAGGTTTTCTCAATTCAGTAAACCGCCTGTCAACGTCCTATGTGTGAATTTGCCTTTACAGACACATATCCCTGACGGCCTCAGCTTTAAGTGGGATCTCACACACTTTTATTAATGAAGAACAGGATATAGTTCCAGCTTTGTAGATAGTGATAGTGAATATTTTAGTTTTTTATTCCTGTATGAATAGCTGAATAAGGCAGTTGTTATAGAGGATATTTCATAGTCCCATTTGTCATCTTTGATGTATTATGCTTCTGTTCTGCTTTCTGAGCAGTGGAATTAAATTTTATTTCTTTTTTGCTTTGGTTTTACAACTGTCTATGGGATACACAAAAGTAGCTGACCTGCCTATCTGGGATTGATTGGTCAGCAGTTCATGGTGTACAGCTGAATGGAGTGTTGCTTTCCCATATTAGATCGATCCAGCAGGTTATAATTAAACTTAGACAGAAGGGAAACGTGTCAGCCTTCAGTCCCCCCACTGTGATCTTTATGCTTTTTTTTTTTTTTTTGCCAATGAATTGCAGGAACAGCAGGTATTTCACAAAGGAGGCAATACAAAGAGAACAAGATACTCTGTAACACAAGTACATGTTATAACAGCAGGCACATATCAGGAATATGAAATTTTAGAGTAGCGATTAGGAGAAGATCATCCATGGCCTTTTCACATGACCAATCCTTACATTGCCGGGCTTTTCATCCTTTCAGCGATTATGAAAATCTTGCATGAGACTGTACAGTTTTACGCCAATGTGGATAGTGACCACTGGGGGATTCTGTTTTTTCCTTTTGCTTTTCAGTCTCTGTCAGTGAATTGTAGGTGGCACCTGCCTGTGTGACTGGATCTCCTATATGAGGGATACGTTCTGCATCCTTGCCTTAAGACTTAGAAGAGAGGGCACAGGTGTGCCATCCAGCCCCACTGCAGGCAGCCTGTCAAAAGTGCCGATGCGATTTGCAAATTGAAATCGCACCTGAAATCGTATCTAATGAATGTGAATGTCAGTGTCTTAACATTTGCGATTTGCTGCAGCGCAATTTCTAAAGTAGTTCTTGCATTACTTTTTCTGCAGTTTTGTTGCAATTTCAGAAATCGCACACAAATCGCGCAATTTTAAATCGCGTATTGTTAAACCCCAATTGCACTGGGGTGCGACTTGACACGCGACTTGCAAATCGCATGGCAAGTCACACTCTATTGTCCGCAATTAGAGTGGTCATATTGGTGTGGTTCTGATTTTGTCGGAGCCGCACCGATTTCTAAAGTAGTGCATGCACTACTTATGGTGCATAGACATTTAGGCAGATGCCTTGCAAGTTGGAATGAAAGCAGACTTTGAAATCGTGCGACTTCAAGTTGGGATCGGTGTGACCAAAGGGTAAAGGTGGCTTTATTACCAGAATACAGCTGTCTGGATCTTCCTTTCTCAGTTCATAAGCTGCTCTGTGAGCTGGGCTGGCACCTCGATTGAAGGAGTGTGTATGAGGCTATGTAGAAGTGGACTGACCTGGAGCAGCATCGTTCTATGTATAATTGCATTGTGGGTGTTTGATATAATTATAGACTGCAGTTTTGTTGCAATTTCACATTTCAGAAATCGCACCTGAAATCATACTGAAATTGCACACAAATCGCGTGATTTTAAATCGCAGTGGTGTGACTAGACCCGGTTGCACTGGGTACGACTTGGCATGCGACGACTTATCTGAAAACGCAGCCCGCACGGGAATCTCTGTTCCCAGTACGGTTGCATTTTCTAGTGCGGGCGACGTGCCATTAGAACTAATGGCACTCGCCCGCGGGTCCGCATTTCTCTGTACGGGTGGTGCGGCTGCACGGATTTTCATGCGGATCCTCAGCAGGCACCACCCACACAGATGTGAACCTAGGCTTAGTTAGGATCTCATGCCACTAGGCACAGCATCAAGCCTCGAACAGCCACGGCAGCGGTCAGCCCCTTAGTCACCGGTAACACTGCTGCAATTAAAAAAATGTGCAATGTGTGCAATTTCAGGTGCAATTTCTGAAGACCTTATTGCTACTTGTGAAGATTTTCAACGATTTCTTGTAATTTGCAGTGCGATTGCCATTATTCTCTGCATGTGAAATAGCAACAAAACTGCAGAAAAAGTAACGCAAGTACTACTTTAGAAATCGCGCTGCAGCAAATCGCACATTTTAGGACACTGACATTCATTAGATGCGATTTCAGGTGCGATTTAATTTGAAGATCGCATCGGTATGACTGGGCACTTTTGACAGGCTGCCTGCAGTGGGGCTGGACGGCACACACCTGTGCCCTCTGTTTTAAGTCTCAAGGCAAGGATGTAGAACGTATCCCTGATATAGAAGATCCAGTCACACAGGCAGGTGCCACCAACTATCCACTGAGAGAGACTGAAAAGCAAAAGGAAAAAACAGAATCCCCCAAAACTATCCACATTGGAGTAAAACTACAGTCTCATGCAAGATTTTCAAAATCGTTGAAAGGATGAAAAGCCCGGCAATGTAAGGATTGGTCATGTGAAATGGCCATGGATGATCTTCTCCTAATCGCTACTCTAAAATGTCATATTCCTAATATATGCCTGCTGTACCATAGACTTGTATTACAAAGTATCTTGTTCTTTGTATTGCCTCCTTTGTGAAATACCTGTTGTTCCTGCCAGTCTCCTTGCTTTCCATTTTCTATACCTGACCTCACCAAGCATGGAAGCACATCCATGCCAGCATGGTCAGTTTTCTGCCTGTCCTCCAATGATCAGATTTGTGCTAACACTCAACCCTCCTCCCCCCACCCCCCAACAATCATTCAGTGGGAAAATCAGTGTCCTGCTGTTTTCTCCTCCCCCAGCTCTCTAAACCCCTTATACACCTGAGATCAGAGATTGTGATAATTTACGCTGTATCCCACCATGACTTTTTGTGCAAAAAAAAAAAACTGCCCTCCACTTCTACATCTTGCTGGCTCTAAGAGCCATCTCTGGTGTTACACTTCACCATATAGGAGCTATTCTAACATCATATAGGCAAGTGTGAGACTGCAAAGGCAAAACACAAGTGCCCCTTTTCAGGCATGATGGGAAAATATGTCAAATATCAATATAAAGATAGAATTATTATTATATACAAAATTTACAGTACTGTGCAAAAGTCTTTGGCAGGTGTGAAAAAATGATGTAAATAAAGAATGGTTTTAGAAATAGAAGTGTTCATTGTTTATTTTACCAGTTAATAAAATGGAAAGTAAATGAACAGAAGAGAAATCCAAATCAAAAGCAATATTTGGTGTGACCAAACCTTGCCAAAAGAGCAACAGTTACACTTGCAACAGTGAAGCTTGGTGGAGCCTCCTTGCAAGATTGGGGTAATAACTATGAGGGATGACATATACAGTTTCATAGTAAAGAAAAAAAATGCTCACCTTTAATTTTGAGGTCTTTTCATGAAGTAGCATCATTTCCTTTCTAATATTCACTAACTTGTTATGGTAATACTTGGCTTCGGAAAACTACAAATAAGACATAGAACAATAAACAAAAAAAAAAAAAAAAAACGTAGTTGCCATTGATTAATTTTCTAAAGACATGACAAAGAGTCCAGGCATCCTGAAAACGTAAAAAAAAAAACAAACATGTAACCACATATCCATAGGAAATGGGCAACCTAAAGCTGAAGGTAAATCTTTTTCGGATTGCCATAAAGTTCACAACAATGTTCAAATGAAGGACGTGGCATATCATTGGATTAGTAAATGATTAAAAACGTAACAATATATTGGGCACCTCCTTGATAACAAATAAAAATCCTGTCTGATCTCCATTTTTTTTATGTTAAAGTTCCACATTAAGATAACATAAAGTAATACATACTGTATATTCTTTTAAGGACAAACAAAGCCTTTTTTCATGATATTCGCTTGCAAAAATATTTTCCTCACAACACAATCCTTAGACAAAAAAAGTAGCAAAACTAACGCAAAAAAAAAAAAATCAGTAGGAATGTTTAAGGGAGAATGGGAAGAAGTTTGTTAGGACTTATTAGGGTAAATTATTGATTAATAGTTGTTACATGGATACTTTTTTTTTTTTTTTTCGTCATTTGTCAGGCTGCTTTAGGTCTCATGCACACAGGGTGTTTTTGCAGCCACTTTTAGGGGTTTCAGGCATATTTTTTTTACAGCTTCCAAAACGCCCCTCCATATTGTCCTATGTGTCCAGCTGTAAAAAAACCCACTGCCAATGCATCCAAGAGCAGCAGCGTTTTGGCAGAAAAGATGCTTGATGCGTCTAAAACACACCTAAACACGTGTTAACGCAGGTGCGTTTAGCGCTTGAGCGTTAATTCATTTCAATGGCCAGAATAAATAATCATTCTGGCCAATGAAATGAACTAACACTCAGGAGCTTGACACATGTAAACCACCTAAACGCTTGTAAAAGCGTTAGACACTTTTCTGTTAAAATGCTGCTGCCAAGAGGAGGAGTGTTTTTAAAATATCCTGTGTACTTGAGGCCTTAAAGGATTGGTGTGATACTGCAGCTGTCCCCTACTGGCTCTACACCCAAGAACTGAGCAATCACATGATCGCTCAGTTCTCGGTCTGCTCTGAGCAAAGAGTGGTGACTGTCAGTCACCACTCTCTGCTCTGCCCCTCCAAAGCTCACTGGAGCTCCAGGCTGGAGAGGGGTCTGGTGCAGCTGGCTCCAGTTCTCAGCAGTGCACTGAGAGCTGGAGCAAACTATCAATCAGGTATCTGAGTGGATCCTGACAAAATGGCCTGGATCCTTCCACAGCCTGAAGCAGCTCTGTGACATCAAGGCACAGTGGGCTTTAACCCACTGTCAGCTAATTCTGTGTCACAGAAGACCACATGTAAGTGCACTCCTGTTACCCACAAGTGAAGTATGACAAAAAAGCTTTGACTCTACTTCTCTTTTAATTGATAGCATCTGAAGATCAAAATTCATCCTTTGGTCTGCAGATGAATGAAACAAAGTAGATAAAATAGTATAAAAATTACTTAATCAACAGTGAAATAGAGAGATACAAACACTGGGGTTGATTTACTAAAACTGGAGAGTGCAAAATCTAGTACAGCTCTGTATGGTAGCCAATCAGCTAACTTTAGCTTGTTCAACTAAGCTTTGACAAAAAAAAAAAAAAAAAAACACAACAAAAAGCTGGAAGCCGATTTGTTTATGAAGAGCTGCACCAGATTGTGCACTCTCAACTTTTAGTAAATCAACCCCACTATGTTGGTTCTTCTTTTGACAACCGATAGAGCTGCTGTATGTACACAGCAAATGTAAACTTCACTTTACAAGCCGAGCATTGCTGGCAAGTTGGGGGAGGGGGTGCAGTAGATGGGCAGGAGGATTTGACATATTACACGTCTTGTGTACTTTGATGACTTTTTCGTACATGTGTAGCATGACTAATGTCCTCAGCTACCTAAAAGGCACAGCATGATCTACTAGCAAATACAGTGGTCACTGTAATGCCAAGGTGAGGGGCTAGCGTCTTCTTTTCAAGATGATCACTTGCATTTTGCCATCATTTTCTGACTGCAGAACATTGTACCATATGGATAGCACACCCCTCCGGCTCCCTTGCAACCAGAACTGCCTGCAAATGGCTACTGGACTACTAGAATGAAAAGCATAGCTTCTGATGGTTAGACCATAATTGATAATACAGGAGACTCCTGTTGGCTCCAATTGATTTCTGCTCCTTGTTCAAGTGGAAGTTGTCAGAGGTAAGGTTTATTCTCAATTTGGGGAGATTTCTACTTTCTTTCCATTGTGTCCCAGGGAACAGGAAGTACAATAAAATCTCACCCGTGGGAGAGAAAACAAAGAAAAAGGCTTTAGCCCTATCTAATGAAGGTTCCCTGCAAAGTCTATAGAAAAACTAGGGGTGCAGCAAATCACAAATTTCTAAGGCCCCCATCATACTGGTATGCTTTTGCTGTGCTTCTCCAGGGTGACAAAAGTGCATGAAAACTATTCCCCGTTAAAGCCTATGTGTTCACACTGCGGGTGTGCTGTGCTATGAATGGTCCTGCATGCTGCATCTTTGGTGCAGTTTTTCAAAAGTGCAGCAAAAATTCACCTTCCTTTGCAAGTCAATAAAGGCGAATCGGTATGAAAGGGCCCTAAATGTCTTGCACTTTCTTTTTAATACAGCCCCATCAGCATTGGGCTGCAGGCTTTGATTTAAAATCAAGCGATTTATCTGCAGTAGTTCGACTGCCTTCTTAATCAGACCTTCAACCCTGCAATCATCCATGCTGCTAATCAGGAAGCAATGGTGATTTCAGATCTGTAGTTTTGACCATCTCAGGGGGCATCTTGGACCACAGCAAATGGACTGCTGATTTAACACAAAGCTTAGTGGTGTTTGGCATCTTCGCAAGGGTGAATATCCACATACACTGGATTCCAGTGGCAAGAATCAGCAGATTCTTGCAGCTTGGATGCAGGTGTATGAGAATAACGGTGGCTACGGATGGCAGTTAGGAACAAATTCCCAAGCATGGAGGCTCAGGCATCTGTCCCTAGCCACAGGTAGCCACTTGGTGTGCAGACACATGTGAACAGTGGCAGCTGCTGTCAGCCTGCCAATACTTTAGCAGCCACTGTTATTTATATATACCTGTCAGCCCAGCTGCAAGAATCTGCTGATTGCTGAAATCCAGTGCATGCTTGTGTAACAGGCATGCTGTCATTGAGTCATGCAGGACATCCACAGATTATGTGTGTTAGTTATGCAATTTCTCCTTTTGGCCACAAGATGGAGATGCCGACCTTTCCTTCCTGAACACTCAGAGTCACAAAGCACACTGGGAAGTGAAGTTTGTCAGCAGCATCAGGACACTGTATTTCCTAGAGTTGGTCTGCATTTCCCAGAGGTCTCTGAGTACAGGCGTGGATACAGGGAATGAGGCGAGAAGGGTGCTGGAGGTCGCCAACAGAGAGAGAGAGAGCCACGCTGTCCGGGAGCGCGCGCGCGAGAGAGAGAGAGCCACGCTGTCCGGGAGCGCGCGCGAGAGAGAGCCACGCTGTCCGGGAGCGCGCGCGCGAGAGAGAGAGCCACGCTGTCCGGGAGCGCGCGCGCGCGAGAGAGAGCCACGCTGTCCGGGAGCGCGCGCGCGCGAGAGAGAGAGCCACGCTGTCCGGGAGCGCGCGCGAGCGAGAGAGAGAGAGCCACTGTCCGGGAGCGCGCGCGAGAGAGAGAGCCACGCTGTCCGGGAGCGCGCGCGAGAGAGAGAGCCACGCTGTCCGGGAGCGCGCGCGAGAGAGAGAGCCACGCTGTCCGGGAGCGCGCGCGGAGCGAGCGAGAGAGGAGAGAGCCACGCTGTCCGGGAGCGCGCGCGCGCGAGAGAGAGAGAGAGAGCCACGCTGTCCGGGAGCGCGCGCGCGCGAGAGAGAGAGCCACGCTGTCCGGGAGCGCGCGCGCGAGAGAGAGAGCCACGCTGTCCGGGAGCGCGCGCGCGCGACGAGAGAGAGAGAGAGAGAGAGCCACGCTGTCCGGGAGCGCGCGCGCGCGAGAGAGAGAGAGAGAGCCACGCTGTCCGGGAGCGCGCGCGCGCGAGAGAGAGAGAGAGAGAGAGCCACGCTGTCCGGGAGCGCGCGCGCGCGAGAGAGAGAGAGAGCCACGCTGTCCGGGAGCGCGCGCGCGGGAGAGAGAGAGAGAGAGCCACGCTGTCCGGGAGCGCGCGCGCGAGAGAGAGAGCCACGCTGTCCGGGAGCGCGCGCGGGGGAGCGGGGAGAGAGAGAGAGCCACGCTGTCCGGGGAGCGCGCGGCGAGAGAGAGAGAGAGAGCCACGCTGTCCGGGAGCGCGCGCGAGAGAGAGAGCCACGCTGTCCGGGAGCGCGCGCGAGAGAGAGAGCCACGCTGTCCGGGAGCGCGCGCGAGAGAGAGAGAGAGCCACGCTGTCCGGGAGCGCGCGCGAGAGAGAGCCCACGCTGTCCGGGAGCGCGCGCGAGAGAGAGAGCCACGCTGTCCGGGAGCGCGCGAGAGAGAGAGACGCTGTCCGGGAGCGAGAGCCACGCTGTCCGGGAGCGCGCGCGCGCGCGAGAGAGAGCCACGCTGTCCGGGAGCGCGCGCGCGAGAGAGAGCCACGCTGTCCGGGAGCGCGCGCGCGCGAGAGAGAGCCACGCTGCCCGGGAGCGCGCGGCGAGAGAGAGAGCCACGCTGCCCGGGAGCGCGCGCGCGCGAGAGAGAGAGAGCCACGCTGCCCGGGAGCGCGCGCGCGAGAGAGAGAGAGAGCCACGCTGCCCGGGAGCGCGCGCGCGAGAGAGAGAGAGCCACGCTGCCCGGGAGCGCGCGCGCGCGAGAGAGAGAGCCACGCTGCCGGGAGCGCGCGCGAGAGAGAGAGCCACGCTGCCGGGGGCGCGCGCGCGAGAGAGAGCCACGCTGCCCGGGAGCGCGCGCGCGAGAGAGAGAGCCACGCTGCCCGGGAGCGCGCGCGCGAGAGAGAGCCACGCTGCCCGGGAGCGCGCGCGC